TATATATATGTATATATACATACATATATATACACTTGTATGAAAAATAATTAAGAGTTTGTCATAACCTCTGGACTGGAATAACTGAAAAGGAGCAGAAGAGTTACAGTTGTTTTTTTTTAACCCTGGAGTTCTTACCAGTCGGTCACTGCAGGAGAAATCCTTCTTTTTCCTGCCAGGAGCCCAGTTCTCTGGTCTTCCTGCAGCATCTGGGCACAGAGGTGAAGTCAGACACTGTGTGTGAACTCACATTAAACACCCAGACAAAAGTGTTGGAAATGAAATGAAACTGTCATGTGACTATGGTGGGACACCATCAGAGCTTCACTGGTCTGCATGTGGACCAAATGGATCCAGATCAGTCTCTTTCTTCTGGGTGATTAACTTCTCATTTGTTAATGAATGCATACTTGTTAATCCAACAAAGTTAAGTCGTGTCTTCTGGACGGTTGTTAATGCGTCTTTGAGCTTTTTTAGTCATTAAATATGGCTTGAAATTAATCTACAGCCCAAAAACATGCATGTTAGGCTGCCCTCAGGCCCAGGCCTCCCTTGCAAAAGAGATCTGTGATCTAAATTGGGATTTGCCTGGTTAAATAAAGGTTAATAAATAAAATAAATAAATTATTTAAGGAAAATTTTCAAATATTAGATTTATTATATTTTTCAGTTTAGTTTTCTGTTGTTACAGAGAAACCACACGCTGAGTTTACTCACCTCCAACATACACACTCTGGGTGTGGTCGACAGCCACGCCGTCATTAGCCTGAAAACACACGACGACAAAAAGTCAATAACAGACACAAACAACAAGCGGGACGTCCACGTCCCCCATCGCTGAGCGATTTGAATAGTGAATGTTTGTAGTTTAGAGACGAGTGTTTTGCTGGACTGCATTTGAACAGAGAATGCAGGTAAACCTGGTGAGTGGAGGGAGCAACTTTATCCACCAACAGGTGCAATGACCGAGCTAGGGAGTGGTCAATGGTGGCTTGGGCCACCATAGATTAATCTTGGAGGAAACTAAACTTTTAAGCAACATAAAAACTAGAAATCTTCCTTAAGTGATCAGGCAGGCCACTTTACTTATACTGTGTATATATATGGTGGTAGCCATCTTAGATTTTGACGTGGCAACCCAGTTTCTAAAGGAACCTTTCTTACGCCTAGATGTAGCAACACCAAAATGAAAGCTGGTACCTCACTTATTTTTCAAGGACGGAGGGAGGATATTTCCAATAACAATAGTGTAATTTTAGACTTATAAGACCAGAAAATCCATTATTTGTCTGGTCTGACTCGTTAGATAGAATATTTGGAAGGTGCGGCACTTACATCAGAGGGTGTGTGTTATTGTTCACCAACCTTTTCACACAGGTGATTCCACATTCCCATCACGGGTTTCCTGTAAACACCAGAACCTGTAGCTACAAACACCTGAAACAAAGAGAGGCAGATGCTGCTTCACACCCAGCGTCCGAACAGGAGACGAGAGTCTGACGCCGACTCGACTGACCTGCACAGGCAGCTGCAGGCTGGACAGGATGTCCTCAACCTTAGATTTGAAAACCTCCGGTCTCAGTTTGCCTTTGGCGATCCCCAGCTGGTTGGTGAAGAACACCACCTGCAGAAGGAAGACATCAGGGTGGGAGATCCAGATATTTCACAGACTTTAACCTGACAAAACATTTAAAATGTACAGCAGCAACGACAACTCTTTCCCTCCTTCCCACCTTGTGTCCTTTTTTGAGCAAACTGGCCAGCCTGGGCTGAATCTCAGGGTACAGAATCCTGGAAATGAACACAATGACTGTAAAAAAGAAATGTAGCATTCCTTAAAATAAACACATAATGCTCACTGCCTGACGTGCAAAAGTTTTAAACAAAGTTCTTGTGCAAATCCTACAACGCTCAGCATGTGTGTGACTACAACCACAACAATTTTTGTTTCAAATATCTGTAAAACTGACAGACTTTTTCACGTTTGTGTTCACTAAAGTTGATAGCAATCTGTCTTGAACTGGACTGACTACACAAAGTAATCTGTTGTAGATGTACATCCATTGATTAATTGATTAATTGATTAATCTCAGTTTCATTCAAATCTGTCCAGTCTTTGAGATATTTTGCTAACAAACAAACAAACAAACACCCTACAGACAGGCAGTTATATAAACACCCACTAATAACAAACCATTTAGAATCAGTCCAGATAACAATGCACAGAGACCGTTCAAAGAGAGCATTTACTGCAGTCCCAGCTGTTAACAGCTGGAGAGCTGACGTACTTCCAGTCATCGGGGCCCGTAGGAAAGACTTTGCCAGATTTGGTGGTGATGATGCAGCCATCAATGTCAAATCCAGCAATCTGAAGGCAGAAAACAAACGTGTCACAACAACTGGGACCACTAAGGTGTGACTTTCTGTGTGCTTTGACATCTCGGCTATTCTCTAAATCAGGTGTGGGCATCGAGATGATGCGTTCTTTTTGTACTCCAAAGTAGGAACTTTTGAGTTCCAAGTCAAAGAAAAGGCACATTACACGTCTGTGAACAAACTATTCTACAGCAATCTGTAGAATGACCCAGACAAGGGATGTCTGAGATTGTCATCATTGTATGTTTATACAATGGTGAAATAAGTTCTCTGCACCCATCACACCTGAGATGCACCCAGGTGGAGCAGTGGTGGTCAGTTATGTGAGCACCCGGGGAGCAATTAGGGATTAGGTGTCCTGCTCAGAGACACCACAACATGTGGGCTGGGAGTTGAACCACGACTTTCTGGTCCCAAGTCGGCTGCCCTACCTCTACCCCATCTCAGCCTCCAAGACCTTGTACAACTTTTGACCTTGATTTGTGACCAACTTTAGAGCTGGGGTGATGAAAAAATTATATGACACGCCGTTTAGTGGTGTAAAAAAATGTGTATTAAGTTTCATTTTAAAAGTGGTATGTTGACACACGGGCAGCACGGTGGCGCAACTGGTAGAGCTGCTGCCTCTCAGCGAGCAGGTCCTTGGTTCAAACCCCGGTCCAGGGGCCTTTCTGAGTGGAGTTTGCATGTTCTCTCCGTGCATGCGTGGGTTTTCTCCGGGTACTCCGGTTTCCTCCCACAGACCAAAAACATGCATGTTAGGCTGATTGGTAACTCTAAATTGTCCCTAGGTGTGAGTGAGAGAGTGAATGTTTGTTTATCTCGTTTGTCTCTATGTGGCCCTGTGATGGACTTGCGACCCGTCCAGGGTGTACCCCGCTCCTCGCACAGTGATTGCTGGACATGGGCACCAGCGACCCCCGTGACCCAAAATGGAATAAACGGGTAAAGATAATGGATGGATGGATGGATGTTGACACACATACCTACCTACCCCATCCACCTCAATCATTTGATGAAAACTATACTTTAAAGTGATACAAACACTAAAAGCATACGTTAGTCAGTTGATGGGGGTGGTTGGTTTATGAGCGCTTGCATGTGTGTGTGTGTAATATATATATACACACACACACAGAACAAAAGTAAAAACACTTTTATTTTTGCTTCCATTTTTCACGAGTAGAACTGTTCTCAAATTTTGTAAAGCTGTTGGTGAGCACTTCTCCTTTGGAGAGATAATCCATCCATCTCACAGGTGTGGAATATCAAGATGCTGATTAAACAGAATGATATTTGCACAGGTGTGCATTAGGCTGCCCACAATAAAAGGCCACCCTAATATGTGCAGTTTTATCACACATCACAATGCCACAGATGCTGCAAGTTTTTTGGGAGCGCTGACTGCAAGAACGTCCAATATCCAATAATCATGCTGTCTAATCAGCATCTTGATATGCCACACCTGTGAGGTGGATGGATTATCTCGGAAAAGGAGAAGTGCTCAGTAACAGATTTACACAAATGTGTAAACAATATCCTGTGATGGACTTGCGACCTGTCCAGGGTGTACCCCGCCCCTCGCACAGTGATTGCTGGACATGGGCACCGGCGACCCCCGTGACCCAAAATGGAAGAAGTGAGTAAAAGATAATGGATGGATGGATGTAAACAATATTTGAAAGAAAATGGCTTATTGTGTACTGTAATTTTCGATGTAAAAGTCACACCTTTTTGCATAAATTAGAATGCCTGTCACTTATACGGCGAAGTGACATGTTTATGATTTTTTTGTTACCCATATTTATATTTATAACCCAATTTTTGGCTGAGATCTGATCATTTCATTCATTCTGACATGGAAAATATTGAACACTACCATTTTCAGCCACTAGAGGGCCCTTGAGTAATATGGCAAGCCAAGTGTCTCATTAAACGGTAAAAGAGGCTATTAATGAGACACTTGGCTTGCCATACAAAACCACCTTCATCTCGCTCCAGAACTCCTGGCGCAAATGTCAAATCAGCTGCATTTTGCTGCCCAGGTGAAATGCAGCTGATTTGACCATTAAAGTGCATTGATTAAGGAAAAGTTAAACTGAGACACACCTTTACTATAATTTTGAGCAAACAAATAATTCTTTTTAAGTGTTAATCTTGTTAAATTCTTGTTAAAGTCCTCCCGTGCACACTCCCGCGGCCGCCATTTGGCAGCCAATCGATTTTTGGCACAACACTGGCCCACGTTTCCAAGTGGTCAGCGGTGACACGTGACAAATGTGACGCATTAGCGGTGACGCATATTAGATGCGACTTATATAGCGAAGTGACATATTTATTTTTTCCACTTTATTAGACATATTCGGACAGATACGACTTATACGGCAGTGAATTTTATGGCGGAAAGTACGATACATAGAAAATCTTAGATCTTTCAGTTCAGCTGAAGAAAAATGGGAGAAAAAAAAACAAAAATGTTGCGTTTATATTTTTGTTCAGTGTGTGTGCATAATATATACACATATACTGTATATATGTATATATAGATCTATAGATATTTACCTGTATATGGTGGTGGCCATCTTGGATTTTGACATGGCAACACAGTTCTGATAGTGACCTTTCTCACGTCTAGATGCAGCCTCACACCATAATGTAAGTCAGTACCTCATATATATTTTAAGTTATGGCGCTCACAACGTGCACAGTTGGTATTTCCAATGCTCCGATATTCCGTCTGGTAATGATACATGTATCAAGTTTGGATAAATTAAATTACCTCGAGCGGATCAGATGTGCAGACCAAGAGAAAGTTTACTGGCGTACAAAGACAGTACCATAAAACACCTACCCTCGACCGGGGAATAAAAAACTGTTACATATGAAACATGAAACTTTTATTGTTTTAGAAATAATTGAAAGCATTCCTGACCTTGTTGCTTGCCTTGACCCCTGCAGCAGTATAAACCATGAGCGTTCCTATCTGCTGCCAGCTGCTCTTCACACACTCCTTTACTGATGACGACGAGGATGAAGACTGGACGTCTTTGGTCTCATCTGTCACAGACCTCTCAGCAAACTCCTGCAGCTGTTTGAGCTTCTCCTCGAGGAGACTCTCCTCCTCATCCTCTTTCATCCCTCCTTCTAAGACCTCCCCATCTATTCTTGGTCGCTTCACCTCAAGGTGCTCTCCTTCTGGGCACAGCTGCCTTTTGG